ATGTTATAAATATTGCAACCAGAGATATAACACACACACAATCTTATTTTAGTCTTGTTTTCCAGGACAAACATCTAAACATTTACATTTCAAGATACATTTACCAAGATATTAGGTTTTTTTTTTTTTTTTTTAAATGTATCAAAATGAAGTGAGATTATGATTAAACAAGAAAATCTGTCAATGGGATAAGAAAAATAAACTTAATTCAAAGGGAAACAAGATCTTTATTTATACCCCACTGGCATATATATTTTGTCTTGTTTTAAGGTTAAACTTATTTAATTGTCAAGATACGTTCATTTCTCAAGTTAATGTATCTTGAGAATGTTTAAATATTTATACAAAAAAAATACAAAAATACTCTGTAAGAAATTTTTTTTTGGCAGTGTAGACTAGATTGTTGCATTGAAAGAATGAAGCCTGTATATGATGCATTATAACAATATGCATATGTATTATAATCAGATGTAATCATAAATAAGCAGATACACCTTAGTTTTAAACGTAAGCGGCGTGACCATTTTGTAACTTCCGGTGTCATTTGATTTTTTTTTTTAACTCTACAAAAACAGTCCGCTGCTTGATATTGCAAACTGGTATTTGTTATCATATTATTTTTATTTATTATCATAATTATAAACACACAAATAACGCAAATAGTATTATCGTTTGCTGCACTTTCTTATTCTTCTAGTTGTTCGCGGCTAATGAATCGGAAGTCTTGTACTTTCACAGAAAATAGCTTCCGCGTTGCAAAATAAGGTGAATATAGTTGACCAGATTTTTGCATTTTCTGAAAAAGTGTTTCTTGCACATACAAAACTCACTACCTAAGGCAGTGGTCGCAGACTGAGTTCCTGGAGGGCCACAGCTCTGCAGAGTTTAGCTCTAACTCACACCTGCTTGGAGTTTCTAGTGATCCTGAAGAGCGTGATCAGGTGTGTTTGATTAGGGTTAGGGCCCTCCAGGACCTGAGGTGTTTCATATTCCATTAATATTGCCGAATATATATTTTCCGTATTTATTAAGCCAATTCAAATAAACGCCTGAACTGCAAACCAAACATTCACACCAACACATATAGGCCTACTGAATATGTGCAAAGATCTCGAGCTCAACCGCACTACTGTATCGCTTCCACCGTGATCTGGAATGAGAATCAGACAGAGGCGCATTGCTTTCACAGATAAGCAGATTCTCGGCAGCGAGCTATAACTCAAAGCAGCGATGACCTGACAAGCCCCGTATCCTGCCCGTGAAAGCACATAGGCTGTGACAGGCTGCACCTGTGGGACTCCGCTGCCGGAAGAGGCTCATAAAGGCCGGGCCGTGTGTGGTAGTGACGCCGGTGAACCACAGCCCGTTTCACATGCGCTCGTCTGTTTGGCTCGTCTGAGCTGATGGAGACCGCCAAGAGTCCGGGGTCACCGTGAGCGCACAGACTGCTGGGAACAGGTACTTTAATGCTTCAAACCGAGGAGATTTCACTGCCACTAGTCAAAAAAATAACGCTTACAGCAGCTTTAATAAAGCATTCAGCTACGAGACTCATGTGATTTTACCAGGAGTAAAGAGGGTTTGTGCGTCTAAGAATGCAATTTAGCCAAAGTAAGAACACTGTAACACACAGCCTGTAATTTACTAAAAAAATACTTTTATACAATGTGCTAAAAGACACAAATGTTCTATAAATATACTTTTTTAATATTAGGTGTATAATAATCAACAAGTCTTGGGTATAATTACGATCATTAATAACAACAATAATACTAATTATTATTATTATTACAATCTATTAAACGTTGGTGTCTTGCGGCATATTATTATTATTAATTATATACTATTTAATGCACCTACTGAATACCTATTTATTATTAACTAACTATGGAACACTGGTGTCTTGCAGTAGGCTATATTGTGGTTGTTGCCACTGTATAAAAGCAATAGTCTTTAATAGTCGTTAATCATATAATAATAATAACAATAATTATATTATTATTATTATTATCTATTGAACATTGGTGTCTTGCAGCATATTGCGGTTGTTGCCAGCAATAAGTCTTGAATATTTTATCATTATTACTAACAGCTTGCATTAATAATAATAATAATAATGATTAACTATTCAACATAACTATTAATAACTACTAATTATTATTATTATAAACTATTGAACATAACTATTTAATGTATTATTATTATTGAACATAACTATTGAATAATAATAAAACATAAAATAACAACAAGAAATAATCTTTAGTGCATTCACTCTATAAGAAACAGCTACAATGTGTCAAACGTGCTAATCACTAGGCCTCAGCTCTAACTTTATCAATTTAATAGTCAAAAACGTTGACAGGCACACATTGTGTGAATGAAACCATGTTAAGAGATCCATATTCTAAGGCTGTCCTATCTTAAATCTCCCGTGCAGATCTGACAGGTCAGACAACACATGCAGGACGCAGCGCTGCAGTCAGCAGACGTGAGCCTGTGTGTGAAGAATAAAACCAAAAAAGCAGCCTGTCAGATCGCTTCAGCTCCATACATCTCCATCCATCGCCTGCGAGAAAAGCTCTGGGATTTCACATGGGCGAATTTACGAGGATCTACACATCAATACGTCGAGCTTACGCCGAACACCATGAAATATCATACAGGGTTTTACTTGTGGGCCGTTTATAAAGTGCTGACAGAAAAATGTGAACACATTAAAGGCATTTGGGACAGACATGAGTATTATCTGTTTAAATGCAACAGGTCAAAACATCTGAAGACATCAGACTGGATTAAACTAAAGCAGAGCCGAGCCGATGGCAGACGAGTTCACAGACTCCTCACCCGCAGCTCGCCTCAGCTCTTCTAATAATGAGTCAGGACACAATCTGATGTTCGCAGCGCAATGCCAGCATACTGCCCACTTAAAAATAATAATCATAAAAATAAAAAATAAATCATTAATTAAAATGAGATAAATAAAATTTTTAAAATTTAAATAAATTGATTCATAGTGAATAGATTCTATGAACTTTGTCAAATTCATATCGAGTCTTCTAAAAAGTCATTTAAAAATAATCTCTAGGAAAGGGGGAAAATAGCTCATTTAAATATTTAAATATGCAAAATGTAAATAATGTAAGAAATATGGTAAGATAGCATTTTAAACTGAGTTTTGATTAATTACTTAAAAGTTATACCCAGTTTTATTTGTATAGCACCTTTCCACAAAAAATAATATATGTGTATATAAGCAATAATTGACGCACACACACACACACACACACACACACACACACACACACACACACACACAAACAATACTTAGAAAGCCAAATATTAGATAATATAGTTGCATTGCTAGGATTTTAATAAAAATACTTTAGGAAAGGAAAAAATAATTAGCTAATTTAAATATTCAAATATTTAAAAATTAAAAATTCACACACAGATAAACTATATATTTTAACATTTTAAACCAATGACACACACACACACACACACACACACACAATATAATTAGTCATACATTAATTGCTAAAAAAAATGAATATAGTTGCATTGCTAGGACTTTAAACCAATACATCAAGTTATAGCCATGATATGCAGTATGCCACAATAAATATCAAATATTAAACAGTATTATGATACTTTGTTGTATCACACATCACATTGCATGTTTAATGAAGTGAGAGTTATCATCATCTTGGTTTGCACCAATTCTGGGTCATTTGTCACATTGGAAATGGAAGGTCAAGTAGAGCAATGCATGACATGCAGCACTGCATGTTTTTATTTAGCAACCCCAGATGTTGTACTGATAATATAGAATCCAGTGCATACTAGTTTCTTTTAAAAAACACTATGCATGCAATTGTGCACATAAAATCAGTCTGTGCACCGCAGCAGCACAAATCAGGGTTAAGAGAAGCTGATACTCTTCAGATAGGCAAAGCGTTTCCAATTGTCCGTGTGATTGGAGCAGTTTTCTCAGACGTGAGTGGAACAGCTGTGATCCCCCAGAGGGCATTACCATCAAACACAACACAACACCTGCGCTGACCCTCAGGTCCCGTTAAACACCCGACAGTCAGCTGCAATCCGCTCATTCAGAACTGTCAGAGTGAACATGAGCACACGTGTTTCAGAAACTATATCACTGCTGTTTGTGAGATACCTGTGCTTAGTAATGCTCACAGTCAGTGAGTCTCACTCGAGGAACTGCTGGAGAATGAGCTCGTGTGCTTTATGTAGAGGTCTTCAGAGAATCTAGAGCTCTGATCTGTACGCCCACCCGAAACTGTCATCTTTCTCACTAACAAAAAAAGAAGTAAAAGTACTCTCATATTACCATTTTTTGGACGTGTACTATGACAAAACCATGCAGGGCTCCACACTTTATCTAATCATTTCCATTACCTTTCTGTGACTTACGCACACACGCACGCACGCACACACATATATATGAGTGAACAAATTTCCAAGATTTTTCCAAACCTGAACAAAAATGTATTATATTTTATATTAAAAAAAAGTGAATACCATGGTAGTTTTTTAGCAAGAATTATATATATTAGTAGTATTTTAGTATTTATAATTTATTACTAATATTTTTTATTATTTTGAAATGTTATATTTTATTTAAAATATGTAAAAATTAAACATTTAAAAAAATGTAATAATAGTTTTATAAATATATAAAAAAACCTAGCTTATACAACCATAAGCTAATGGATAAAAAATTACAGAAAATACAGAAAAAGGGTTTTTACTTTCTTGTTCAAATAAAAAAATAAAAAAACAAAATAAAAATTCATAAGTAAATAAATCGTGTTATTCACGTTTTTTTTTTTTTCACATGTGTGTTTTTGAACACAGAACACATTTTTATTCCAAGATTTTTAATCTAAAAAAAAAAAAAGAAAATTAAATACTCTAAATCCAAACAAAAATGGTACAAAATTACAAAAGCAAGGTATTACAACTGAAAGATCAAGTATTACAGCATCAAAAAGATGGGTTTTCATTATCCTACTTTCCAGACAAAGGAACTAGTTCTACACATCATCATCAAAAAAGCTGAAATTGTTATGGAATATTGGTTGTAACCGACTAAGAATACAAAATTAAACCTGTTTACAAAAGAGGAAAAAACTCATATTACTAGAGTTTACATGAACACCAACTAAACAAAATGCGTCCAATCCAGATTTGTGCCAGTCCACAGCGCTTCCTGTGAAAGACACACGCAGACAGAGACTCCTTCAGCTCCTACAGACCTCCTCTCGCTCACCTCAGCAGGCCAGGAAAGTCATCCCGTTCCTGCGGTAGGCACTCTGTCGGGGAACACAAGAGAAAAGCAAATCTGTTATGAATTAGCGCTCCAGTTCCACAGAGGCAGAAGGCCGGCTCTTGTTTTCCGGTTTCACAGACGACACTGTCTGGAATGTGCTGCTTTTTTTCTCTTTTAATGTTTAATCGAAGTATTTCTGGTTCTGCGGGTTACGAAAAACCGTCCTCATCTATTAGAAACACAGATACAAAACAAATGCGGTTAACAAGTGGTTTATGAATCTATTTGTGGAAAGGCATTCTGATTTGTTGAAGGCTCGACTTTAAAAATGTCACAGGGGTGTAATTGTGAGGGTCCACACGACTGCAAAGTAGTTGTTATATGGTTCACATTTTATTTCTGAACCGTATAACAACTAGGTTGCAAATATGTTTTATGATTCAAATATTTTTGCCTGAATAATGTTTAAAAGACACCGAAAATACATATAATCATGCAGAAATCATAAACACTACCATTCAGAAGTTTGGGATTTTTTATATGCTTTTGAAAGAAGTCACTTGTGCTCACTAAAGCTGTATTTATTTAATCAGAAATACAGTAAAAACAGAAAAAATTGTGACATATTATTACAATTTAATATGACTGTTTTTGATGTGAATATATTTTCAAATGTAATTTATTTCTGTGATCAAAGCTGGATTTGCAGCATCATTCCTCCAGTCTTCAGTGTCACATGATCTTCAGAAATCATTCTAATATGCTGATTTGCTGCTCAAGAAACATTTCTGATTATTATCAATGTTGAAAACAGTGCTGCTGAATATTTTTGTGGAAACTGTGATGCATTTTATTTTTTAAGATTCTTTGATGAATATGAAGTGAAAAAATGGAAATCTTTTGTTACATTATAAATGTCCTTACTGTCATTTTCAATTTTTTTAATGCGTCCTTGCTGAATAAAAGTATTCTTTTCTTTTTTGTAAATCTTACTGACACCAAACTTTTTAACAGCAGGGTATTTTTTTCTGAAAATTGTTTTACAAAATCATATTCAAGTACTGTATGTTCAGTGACATGCATGGCTTGCATTTATTTAGTTTATTTATTCCAATATAACTATTAAATTATTCATTACATTAAATGTAATAAATGTTTACACAATAAACATTTCCATTTTTGTATTAAAATTACATCACCAAAATGACACCTGATGCTCATTACTGCTTTTAATATTAGCTAATTTGAACCTTTTTGAAATAAACAATATTTATATATTTTTACAACGTAAAAACTGATATCTTTTCTTGATAATAAATGTGAAAATTATTTATTATTTGAAAATTATCTTGAAAATAATGATTGAGATGTGCACACAATTCTCACTCAGAAATTGCTAGTAGATTTTACAAATAATTACAATAAAATGGCAGGTAACACACTGAATGTGAAATTTTGAAGCAGAAAAAAATATTTGTAAAAAAAAATTTTTTTTTTACAGTATATTCAATGCGTGAATGAAGCATTATTTTTACTTGGTTAACCACGTTTTTAGAGCCATTCAATCAAAACTTCTGTTAAAAAACTGTATAAACATTCATCAAAAATGCATGAAACCAACATGAATCCTCTTCATGATCACCATTTGTCATTGACACACTCTGAATGTGATGTTCTCCGTCTGTTGCATATGCTTCATACTGTATTAGGCGTTCAACATCATCTGAGCTCCCATAAGCACTTGGTTGGACAGTAATAAGTGGTCACACACAAACATCATTGTAATTACTTAAGGACACGACTCTGGATCATGCGTTTCTGCCAACAGAGATCTGTATTTCATGAAGGAAACCATCAGGTCACCACAATCCCGGAGTGGAAGGCGGATCCAGTCACGGGCAACATATAAAAATAACAAGTGTCTTTATGAACAGAGTCCTGCAAACGCCACCGACAGCGCCATTAATTATCATTATTCAACCACAGGGAGGAAAACAAGAGAAAGCATTGCAGCGACTGCAGCAAGACAATACGTACAGCTGCATTGTGGGTAAAAAGGAAGGAGCCGACGAAATCCAAAGCCACTCGGGGTGGTAGATTGTTATATATGTCATTTAATTTATTTTTTATAAAAGAAATGGAGAATTGAAAGCAGATGTGCGCCGTCCTCCATGCGATACAATTTGTTTTTTGATGCGTGTTTTTTTGCATTCATATTATGGCGAACTCATTTCATTTGTCTGGCGTTTTAACGGGACACAAAAGCGAAATGGAGACGGGTCCCAAAAGGGACGGAGCTGGATTCAGGAAAACAGACGACTCAAACTAGATACAGGCCCAGAAACATGAACTGACTGGAAAAAAACCCACAGAATAAGGCAAGAAAGAAAGGATATTGTAAAAGCTCTGACAAGCTGGAACTTATAAAGCCAGATTCAAACCCGCGTATCAAAGCTCAAAGGTCGAGGCTTGATTTGCTGGCGACTTCTGTTTCTTTGGGTCATTATCTCCGAGTCCAATTATAGGATCAGCACACTGGAGAGCAGATTTCTAATCAGGACCAACGAGGAACAGGAGAACATGTGATGTTGAAACGCTTTTACGTTTGCACCTGTATCTGTTACACTAGATGTGGAAAAACTAAACTTCTGTTCATCATCTCACACTGAATGCATGCAGATTTAGCTTGAAACATGCACAATGCCCTAACAACCATTTATACACCCTAGAAACCATATAAAGCCTCTAGATAACACATGGCAATCACTCATAGCACCCTATCGACCGATTTATCGGTTTTGCCGATTAATCGGCACCAATTGTTGATTGCTGGAACAATTGATTATTGGCAAAAATCCATACCGATAGTTTTTCCAGGTTGCGTCCGTTGCTGTTATTATACAGCGACCAGTAGAGGCGGATTCACTGATGCCTCCAGGGTTGTGCCAAGTCTGTGGTTTTCCCGAGGAATTGGGCTACCAAAAGGTTTTCGTTTATAAAGCTCTAGAAATGTTACTGACTGGTGTTAGCGCATTTCCTGCTAATATAGAAAAAATAAAAGTGTCTGAATTAAATATGTGCAGTGTCACATGGTTAGTGCAAATGACCAGAGCAGTTTACTTCCTGTTTGCACCATGAGAAGATGATGGCTGCATCAAAGCTCCAAAACAAAAGGTTAGTAAAGTATGTTAACAAAGATATGACAAAGATTTTTGGTACACATTATCTTTAAGGTGTCTAGTATTAATATATGCATTTACAATTACTCAATTTTGTTGAGTGTGGTCATAGAATGAGTAAACATGTTGATGGCAACAATAGTGACCGCTGGGATAATAACATTTTTGTCTTTTATCTCAGTATCTCAGTATTCCTATCAGTGTTGTGAATTTAAGGGTTTTTATGTATAATAGTAACCCTAGAATGTGATGAAACAGTTTAAAATAGTGTTAATAACTGGGCTGAGATATATATGAATTTTGATGACTGCAGAAATATTTTAATTCAGTATACACATTATCCCATAAAACACTAATTTTCACACACTTTTCCTTAAAAAATGTCAAAATAATTATTGATTATTTCAAAGAGTTACTAATGACACATCACTTGGATATTTTAATGTCTGGGAAAAATGTGGGATTAAATTGGTTGAACTGTTTGCCACATGTAGATTTTTTCACCCTGGGTTAATGGTTTGACGTATTGCATAAATTATATTTAACTGAAATGCTTGTACTCAAATATTTTAGATTCTACCAGTAATAAAACTGTGGTAGGCCACTGGTAAGGTTTATGATCTGATATAGTGGCTTTCAATTTGCATAATAGTGACTGTAAAATATGTACTTTAGGTATGGGAATTGCATATTTTGAGTTTTGATATTTGGGATATGGTCATTGGGCTACATTTGGGCTATTTTTGATTGGCCATTGGGCTAGTTTTGTTACACAGACCTGGCAACCCTGGACACCTCATACGGTTTGTTTTGACACGTGAAACTCTACACTACAGAGAGTATACTACAGTACATGTTTTCATATCATTATAAAGTAATTCAATTGTTGACTTGATTCTGCATTACTAAAGAAGAAACAACAGTATGTTTGCCGTCAATGCTGATGCTGAGAGGACTAATACATTTTTTAATTTGTTTCTGATAACATTAGTTAATGCACTATGAACTAACATGAACAATCAAGGTGTAATGAATATATTGATATTTACATATTTATTTCATTTAAGGAGTACAGTACATTTTTATGGTTCAGTACCATTAAAAAAAAAAAATTCGAATAAAGTTCAGTACTATTTTACGTAGTGTTATGTTTCTTTTCATTCAATATCCATTTAAAAAAAAAATTGGTTGATTAATCGGTTATCGGCCAGTGTGGTCCAACCTAGTTATCGGTATCGGTAAAATCCACTATTGGTCGACCTCTACTAGCAACCATGTAAATCTGCCTAGATAACATAGCAACCACTCAGAATACTCTAACAACTGTGAAAAAACATTCTATGCATCACATAATAACCACCCAGAACACCCTAGCAACTGCATGACACACCCTAGATAACACACAGCAACTACCCAGAATACCCTAGCAACGTGCTGAAAACCTTTAAAGATGCTTTATAGACCTTTAAAACGCATTTACAAATGAAAATCTCTGAATGTTAAAAAAGAATGCAATATAAAAGCTTTGATTTGGAACATGAAAAGCTTTACTGAACTGATTGATTGTGTGAATTCTGCTCTGATTGGGTTTCACTAAGTTTGACAGATTGAGCATGAATGGCGCTTTATTACATGGTGGATTTTTCCAGCACAGCAGATTCTCAGTTTCATTTGGCCTCGCACAACATCACAGGCTTATTTTCCAACATATAAATAAACATCCTGGAGGAAGCTGACCGAGAGGGTTCCCTAAAGATCCTGAAAAATAAATCCAGCCTGATATATGTATATAATGTGCATGTTCAACGGGAAGCAATGGAGATATATCTCAGGGAAGAGTTCCTTCCTGTATGTAATATATTTT